AGGAGACGTCGGGACTCAGAGTCTCGAGGGGTCTTCTGTGGGACAATATTGTTTTAATTGTTTGTATTAATAAAACGAATACCCTAACCCCCCCCCCCCAAAAAAAAGTAGAAACAAAGATTGTATACTGTATTATAAATCAGAAGGCTATGTGTATATTTACAGTAAATTTTTGTAAATTTTTTAGGAGGCTATGTAAATATATATATATATATATTTTTTATTGAGTAAGAAGTCTAGAAACGACAAATTGTTTTTTTAAAGCCAAACAATACAACAAAAATAACATTTATTCTTATACAGCCAGTGAGCCAGCTGCCAGGCAGCCAAACCCTTGTGGGCAAACCAGCACCATACTACCATCAGCAGAGGACAAACTGCCAAAGTTACAAAGTTCGAAATCAAACTGGTTTTTAAATTTAAAAAAGCAGATATGATTCATGACTCATGACTCCATGAGTCGTGAGTTCATAACTCTCTCTCTCTCAGAAGCAAATCGTAAACGTCTTGAATTAAAAAAAATCACAATTCAAAGAATGTCCAATAGTCATCAGACAAAAACTTGCGATGAACACGATAAATTCTGACAGAATCTATGATTCAAGATGGCAGATATCATCGCTCGATCTCAGTTAGTTGTACAGATACCATACAAAATCTGGTTACCATTTCATTGCAATAGCGTAGTGCGAACGGATGTTAACAACTTATATGGATATGATCAATTAAGTAGGCTTATGCGTTGTATATAATTATAGTGATTTTGTGTACACAGTTATTAGCTTGACAGGATTGATATTACCACATATCTCGGAATTGAGGAAAGTATTTACTGATACTTCCGTTACAAAACTAAATATTGATCGAAGTCAGTGTGTTCTTCATAAACAGAGTAATACCTTTTGACTCCTATTTGTATTACAATGCGAGCAAGTATTGCCTTACATAGTGTTCCAGTATATATACAAGCGCTCTTCTACACAAAATTGGAAGTTTGGTGAGTAATCCAATACGTTCTCATAACTGTGCGATTGCTGGTAGATCTGCCACACCCTGATACTAACTAGAACTATGAATCACGACGACTTTTATAATCTGTGCCGCATGTATGTCTCATCGTTTAGAGTAGTACATATACAAGTTGTCAGCTCAAGGATCAAAATTGTCACAACTATGTGTAGAAAGTACGCAATATTCAATAAAATTTCGCAAATCGACTAAATATATCCAGAAGTACCTAGTAGTGATAGTCCAGTTCACCCTTTTGGACTCAAGTGTAAATAGTCGTGCAAAGTTGCGAAACTCGCGAAAAGTCGTGAAAAGTTGCAGAAATCGCGACATCAGCGCAGGATTACAGAAACCCTATGCATTATTAAAATAATCCCCACCGTGTGAAGTATTATATCTGGGACCCCTTTGGACCTGCGGTGGGAGATTTCGAAATTTCAATTATATCGTCTGTTATTTGGTTGTGAAAATTGGGATTTCGCAGGATTTCGATGTAAATCGCGAAACTTCAGTGCCAATAGCTGCTGATAGAGTTAGAATTTTGAAATTCTCCACCGTAGGTCCATAGAACTCCCAATACGGTACTCTACACGGTGAGGATTTTCCTAACCTGCAGATAGTCTCTGTATTCTTCCGCTGCAGTTCGCGATAATTTGCGAAATTTCGCGACTTTCGCTACTTTTGCGAGTTTTGACGAGTATACTCGAGTCGCCACTACTACACTCGAGTCAACAAGACACAACTGGACTATTTTTCATTGGTGGATACTTCTGGGTATATTTAGTTGGTTTTGGAGGTTTACTTGAATTTTGCCCATTTTTTCAGAAACTTGTGATAGTTATATGATCTATGAGATGTCAAATTGTATTTTTGTCATATGAACGGTGAGGTATACATAAGGCATTCATTATACAAATTGTCAAAGTGGTTTGCAAGTACTAGTTAGTATCATGAAAGATCCCGAACCAGTAGCATGGTTGTGAAAAGTATTGAACCTCGCGAGTACTTATCTGAGTACTGCAACACTGCGCTAGGTTATTATACTTACTCGCACCGTAAAGAAAACATGCTAATATCAATAGATATTGTTCTGTGTATAAAATAGATACTGACGTTGAGTATTTGCCGTTGTATTAAAGTTGTTATTTGGTGTATATTTATCTCGGTGTTACCAAGTCATATGATTATCAACTCAAGCTTAACCGTATATCCAATTTCACTATAAGCTATAATATGGGAAGGTATAAACGTACATAGAACCCTTATAAGTGAATAGCATTCATTCCCACTACGCTATTACGATGAACTGGTAAGATGAAGTGGGAAGCAGCGTTCGCAAAAGGTATCTATCACCTTCATATATACCGTCGGGGGGCATAATGATCACTGTCAGGTTTCATCGTGTTTTAAACAGTTTGTCCGAAAATTAGACATTCTCCGGACGTAATATTGTGATTTTACAAAATTTACAAAGTTTACGGCTCGCTCCAGAGAGAGAGACAGATAGAGTAGAGACTAGAGAGAGAGTAGAGTAGAGACTAGAGTAGTAAAAGTGTAAAACTTTTAAGGAAAAACGGACAAGTCCGTAGCCCATAGGTCGCGCCTAAAAAGACTATAAAAATGAAGACAGTTTTAGGCTTTCTATGGAAAAAAAAAAGACAATCTGATTAATGATTTCCGACTCCGAGCCGGCCGAGAGCGCCGCTGCTCCAGCGCTCCGCATAAGCAGTTATATACTGTAATATGTACAATTGACAATAGTTCATATATAAATTTTTTTTTTTTTGATATTTACTATTATATATATTTGTTATTTTAAAACCAAAAACAAAAACAAAACAATATATGATAGATATATATATACGGAAATACTTCCAAAAAAAAATCTTTAAAAAGACCGGTCTCTTTCCAATATAGGATATTAAACATACTATTTATATTCATAACGGCCATTCTTTGCAATACTAGGCCAAAAACTTGTCTGACTCCTTGTGTACTCCTGTGCGTCCTTCTACAACCTTCGGACATGGCCCAAAAAGGCAAAAATCAACCATGACGGGCCAAGATCGTGTTTATATGGAGTTTTTATGGCGTATCCGCTCGTATTAATGGCCAAAGACTTGTCTGACTGCTTGTGTACGCTTGTGCGTCCTTCTACAACATACGGACATGGCCGTGTGGGAATGCTCCGAGCGTTTTGATGTCCCCGATAATTTTAAAGGAAAGACCTTGGTAAGTGTACGCAGCGGCACGGCTTGCGGAACAGTGTTAGCCTTTAAATCACGTCCCACTTGTTGTTGTTCGTATATACATACAAGTATGTTACTTTTAATTCGTTCGATTTCCTTCCTGTGGCGAAAATTGAGTAGTAGGTTGTATCTTTGCGCGAGTACTATTGAATGTCTATATATATATTTATTT